AGACAATGTATGTGACTATTATACTTTCAGTACCAGAAAATAGTAACTACCAATATCAGGTTGTAAATTAGGAATGTTTATAAAAATAAATAAAGGAAAATTTGACCTTGTACATATATACCCATCTACCTATTTCTTTATTATTCTTTTTACATATTTTAAATAATTTTGCTTAGAGGGGGAAGGGAGGGAGAAATAGAGGGAGAGAAACATCAATGTGTGACAGAAACATCCATAGTCTGCCTCTCACACACCCCTAACTAAAGGACCTGGCCTGCAACCCAGGTATGTCATACAACTGGGAATTGAACCAGTGATGTTTTGGTTTGCAGGCCGACACTGAAGCCACTGAGCCACACCAGCCAGGGCTATTCTTCTTCTTTCTTCTTTCTTCAAGATTTTACTATAAGAGGGAGAGAAACATCAATTGGTTGTCTCTCATATGCCCCAACTGGGGAGAGCTGGCAACCCAGGCATGTGCCCTGCCCAGCCCAGGAATTAAACCAACAACCTTTTGTTTTTTGGGATGATGATCAACCAACTGACCTGCGCTAGTCAGAGCTCTTCATTATTCTTACAGTTTTTTCTTACCCAGAGATTATATGAGAAGTTAATCTATTTTTCCTGCATTTTATTTTTTTGTTTATACCTTTGTTTTATTTGTGTATGTGTTTATCCTTTAATCCTTCTAGAATTTACTTCTTTAAAATTTTTAAAAAACATTTATTGGTTTTAGAGGGAGAGGAAGGGGGAGAGAGAGAGAGAGAAACATAGATTTGTTGTTCCACTTATTTATGCACTCACTGCTTAATTCTTGTATGTGCTCTGACCCTGGCGGGGGTGGGGGGGCAGAGGGGGCAGGCAGTGGAACCCAAACCTGGGGCATTGGGATAAGCTTCTAACCAACAGAGCTGCCTTGCCAGGACCATCTGGAGTTTATTTGGATATATGTTGTGAAATAAAGATCTAAGTTGATTTAAGGGAGGGGGAGGAGACTTTAAACAGCACCTATTTTTTTAAAGATTTTATTTATTTTTAGAGAGAGGGGAAGTGAGGGAGAAATAGAGGGAGAGAAACAGATCAATTGGTTGCCTCTTGTATGCCCCCAACCAGGGACCTGGCCCACAACCCAGGCATGTGCCCTGACTGGGAATCGAACCCATGACCTTTTGGTTTGCAGGACAATGTTCAATCTACTACACCAGTCAGGGCAAAACACCTTTTACTTCAGCACCCATATATTGATTCACCTTTTTCAAGTTATTTGACCTCTCAAGAACTTAGAACATTTTGTACTAATGCAAAGAGCAAGGACCGTGGAGTGGGATGTATAGCCTGGGTTGACTGTGTGATCCCAAGCAAGTGCTGGTTAACTTGTGTCAAGTTTCAGTGAAGTGGGCTTAGTGAGCTGTTATGAAAATTAAATTAGCTAGGTCAAACGCCTGAAAAGCATCTGCCACACAGTAGGTTTTTAGTAAATTGTCCCTTTCAAAAGGCTTTTTCTTCCTACTAGAGAACTTGAGAAAGCTTCCTCCTTGCCTATAGTTGCTTCTCTCTTCCATTCCTCAATTTCCTGCCCTGATTGTCCTATTCCTTTCCCACAGAAGCAGGTCCGGGACCGCGGGGTGACCAGATCCAAGGTGGAAAAGGCACGGCCGCCTACTGTGCCTGTGCCGCAAGTGGACATTGTTCCTGGGCGGCTCACTGGGGCTGAGTGGATGGCGCTCTCGGCTCAGGAGGAGGGCGAGGACGTGGTGGGGGACATCTTGGCAGATCTGCTGGCAGGAGTCATGGACTCTGCCTTCAAAGTCTACTTGACCCGGCAGGTGGGCCTGGATCTGGGTCCTCCCACTCCCCACTCTGCAACCTCTTCCTGCCCCTTTGAGACCTTCTCCTGCCTCCCTCCTCCACAGTGCATTCCATTCACTATCAGCCAGGCTCGGGAGGCCATGCTGCAGGTTATTGAGTGGCGCTTCCTGGCCCGGGAAGGAGAGTCTGCAGTGGCTGAGGACCCCACGTGGGGCGAGGCGGAGGACGAGGATGAGGAGCCATCCGCAAGCACAATGGATGCCTGGGCTCAGGGATCTGTGCCCGTGCTGCAGGTGCCAGCCTGGGTGGGGCTGGAGGAGACCTTCCAAAGCAAAGTAAGCCCAGTTCCCAGCTCCCTCCAACCCCCACCTCTATGCCCATTGCATCTTCTTTTACCTTAGGGCCCCTCTTGACTCCTTCACCCTTAAGTCCTTTCTCCTTTTCTGACTTCTCATTGCCTGCCTCTGGGGCATTTCTCCAGGACCAAGGTAGCATGGACCAGATTCCTTTAGAAAGATCGTGGATGGATAGAGGCTTTGATGAGCAGATGGAAACGCTGAGAGACACCCCCGGCTCCCCACCCAAACCGGATCTGTTTCAGGAGGCAGGGCCTGGGGGTCCTTTAGAGGAACTAGAAGGCCAGGGAGAAGGCAACCTTTCTTCAGCTGGGTCCTTGAACACGAGTCTCCAACAGTCATTGTCTGTGGAGATGGTGGAGATGGTTCCCACTGGCAGTCCCAACCCTTCTTTGGAGCTGTCCCAGGTAGCCAGCTCCCAGGAATCTGCCGAGAGGGCACGGCCCCACAGCTCCCAGTTTTCGATAGAGGACTTCTATTGCACACCAGAGTCGCATGCTGCTGAGGACCAGGGAACACTGGAGGAGGAGGTGCCTCGCACAGCCTCGGGCCCCACCATGCTCAGCCACTTCGCGTCCTTCCAGCTGCAGCAGCCCTGGCGCACGGACTTCCAGCCGAGCGTGCTTCCCTACAGGGCGCACCGCAAGGCAGCAGCGTGGGGGCAGCTGCCTGCACTGGGGCGGCTGCCTGCACTGGGGCGGCTGCCGTGCCGCTCGGTAAGCCCAATAGTTGAGATTGTGGATCCAGGTTCTGAGGTGGACTCCATGGGAATCTACCGCAGGCGCCAGCGGGTCAAGAAGACGGAGACCTTGGCCAGACGCCCAGCCACTGGCCCCAGTTTCGGAGTTTCCGCGGCAGCTTTCTGCCCATTCCCTCCGTCCTGTTCTTTTCCTGCCTTGGGCCCCGGCCTCCAGATTCTCCCTTTAAGCTTAGGCCAGTCAGAGGAGCCCTTGCTCACACCCGAGAACCGCTTTCTTGAAAGGCACCTGGAGCGCCCCTGCCACACCAGCCCCAACCTGTGGCCAGGTGCGAAGTGGCCCAGGGGCTGGGAGCGGGAGGCCGAAATGCTAGAAGAGCTGTGGGCTGGCCGCAGCCGTATACCTCCGCAGGGCCTGGATCCTCACAGGTTGCCTTATTCTGAGCCCCGCATCCTTGAGGCCACTTCCCAGGTGATGTGGAAGCCTCTGTTGCAGCCAGAAACCTCGAAGCTGGTTCCCGGTGTAAGCATGTGGAAGCCAACCACTCAGGAGCTGCTCAGCTCTGGTACACCCCAGGAGGAAGACAAGGAAGGCTGCACCTCACCTCCCACTGAGTAGCACCCCATCCAGACCGGTGCCCAGAAACCCAGATGACCATGGCACAGCTAATGAAGAACTGAGCCCCCTAAGTGCCGTCACTCCCCTCCAAACCCCTGCCCCATTCTGAGTCCTGAACCTCAGCCAGTGGGAATCCTACATTCCTCTGTCTGCTTGCCAGAAATAAACACCTGAGTTGCCTTAGAATTGGCCTGATATCTCTATTGGTTTCTTCCAAAGATGGGTATTTGTAACCGGAAGACACACTGGTGTTCGGGCTGCCTGCCACTACCAAATCCAATAAGCAACGACAGCGATTGAATCTTTTATGGGCGCTTTATTCAGATGGCCAGTGATCCAAGAAGATGGCGGGTTCCTACCCTAACCATCTTCCCTTCTCTTTCCTGGCCAGACCTTTTATAAGGGGGTTGGGGAGGACAAACAAGGTGCAGTGAGGGCTTTGAGATTCAGAAGCTGCAACATTCCTGTCCTGGGCAATTAGCTGTTTCCAAGGGGGAAGGGTGGTTTTCTGCTCTTCCTGGAACAAAGGTTCGGATGTCCCCAGGAGGTAATCTATCAGTGCTCCAGGAGTTCGGCTGCTTTTCCCAGGAGCCAGGATGGGCCTTATCTATAGTTTCTAAACAAAAGCTTAACAAACACATTACTTGCTAGACTTACAGCTTTTTATCTTAAGCTAAAATTTTCCAAGTCTTGAGTCCCCTATCATATTTTCACTGAACTGGGGAGTGAAAGGTTTTCTTAGGCTCCGCTGAGGAATAAATGCTAATCAGCCACAAAATTAGGCAGTGTAGAGCTTTATTGGGGTTTGCGCACCCAGGCGAGGTTTGCACGGTGGGGCCGAGAAAGCCACAAGCAAATAGGGAATATGGTGGGGTTTTATTTTGGTTGGCTCTCTTCGTGGGGGGTGGGGATTGGTCCCCTCCGAACAAAGCAGCAACATATCATTGATGGTTCTCCTCTCACCCTGGTTTGAGGTCAGCCGTCTTTCCCGGGTTATAGTTCAGCCGCCATAATTAATTGTAGTCCAGCCGCCTTTTTGTCCTACCCCACCCATCCTGACAGGGAGGAAGAGGTTTCCTGGCAGGACTAGAAAAACACAGAATGCTACTGGTTTCACGGAATAAAACCATTTCCACCTAAAGGAGACCCTGCTCCAGGGCTAAGGCCACTCCCCGGCAGAAGCATTCTGGAGAACCAGCCCTGTCTGGCAAAGGAGCAGGTGTAGAGCTGCAAGTGGGGCTGCCTCGGTTGGGAGAACTTTGTCTCCTCTTGGTGGTGGAGAAAGGGGGTGACCCTGCTGAGGTACAGAGTGATTCAAGGCACCAGGAATTTGATTCCCTGCTTCCCTAGTCCCTGGGGCTCTGTCAGTTCACTTTAGAGTGCAAATCCAAGTTTGGCTTGGAGACAGAGTTGAGCCCTTGCAGAGTTTAGGGGAAGCCCTGAGGGTTTGTTGATTTTTGACTAGGTGGGTGAGGCAATCCAGTGCCCAGGGTACACTCATTCCTGGGCTCAGATGGGTTGCTTGAACAAATGTGAGAGTGCCTCCTTAAAACATTTTGTGACTTGGGCTCCACCCCAACCTGATTGCTAGTACTCACTCAGCTTTGACTTCTTCACTCTCTTCTACTCTGGGTGGCAGGCCAGTAATCTGCTATGTTGCTGTGGTCTCTAGTCAGCACCCATGTCTGGGGCCCTGGCTCTGTCCTCCTCATTCTGGTCTTCCTGCTTAGACTAAGTGTGAGGCTCTGGTATAAGTGTCATCTTTGGGACCTCCAGCATTGCTGCACAGACCTGACGGGGAAGACAGCGGTGGTGACTGGGGCCACCAGTGGTGAGTGCTCCTCCCACCCTGTTACCTCACTAGGGGCTTCAGCCCCCCAACAGCATTAACAGGGAGGGCAGAGGAAGAAGCAATATACACAAGTCAGCACCTCTGGCCCCTTGCCCCATTGCCTTCTAGTCACTTCCCAGACTAGCCTACTCGCAGGCTGTTCTTCTACAGGCATAGGGAAGGCTGTGTCCCAGGAGCTGGCCCGCCGTGGGGCCCGTGTGATCCTTGCCTGCCGGAGCCGTGAGCGCGGACAGTGGGCCCTGGCTGAGATCCAAGCAGCCTCAAAGGATGCCTGCCTTCTGCTTGGGGAGGTGGACCTGAGCTCCATGGCCTCCGTCCGGAGCTTTGCCCAGTGGCTCCTGCAGGAATGTCCTGAAATACATCTATTGGTTAACAATGCTGCAGTCTGTGGTATGTGCCTTCATTTGCTTCTCTTAAACACATTTCAGGAGACTGGCCTCTAGGTCAGAGACCTCAAAACAGGCATCCCCAAAGCCTAACCCATGCATCCTGCTGAAACACTCCTAATTCATACACAACCCTAAAGAGCCTGCCTCAAGTTATAGCCTCAAATGTTTCTGCCCCATGTTTGCACATATATGCTCCTATAGCGTTTCTACTGATCCCCAATATATCCCCCCAGACTTTTTCTCCCTCAGAGCAGTCCCTCCATCGTCCACTTCTTGTGTTTTCATCTCCTCCCAGGACTCCCCAAGAAACTAACACCAGAGGGCCTTGATCTCACCTTTGCTACCAATTATGTTGGGCCCTTTCTGCTCACAAACCTACTGCAAGGTAAGGAAGCATGCCTACCTTCTGTGCTGGCCCTGCTTCTCCATTCCCCTGGCATTTTCTTGGCCACTTTCTTCCCCTTGGCTCCCAGCTGTTTGCTGCACATAGCAGGGGAACCACCTGACAGTCAGGATTAGGATTCTGGTCATGGAATCAGCCCAAAATACAACCAGCAAGGGGATATAAGATCCCAGCTCTCCTTCTCATAGCTCTGGGTTCCAGTGACACCAGTAGAGTCAGTCATCTCAACCAAGGCATCCTGAGGTTGGCACTAGGCCACTAGGAGTAGAGACACCAAGACACTCAGGAACCACCAGGGATAGTAGTTAAAAATACCACAGCCTTGGGCACGTCCTTGTGCCCTTCTTGGGCCCAAGACCTTTGACTTTCTGAGTCATAATCCTTTCTGATTAAGGACGTTTGGGTTCTTCCTGGGGAGGAGGGGGAAAATGGATAGCCGGCAAAATTTCCCTAACATATTTTCCTGTATTGTGTATTAGCCCCTTTAAAAGAAAACCAATTTTTTAGTCAGGTAATACATATCTAAAATACAAAATTGAAAGTGTACAAAAGGATATAGAGAAAAAATTATCCTCTGCTCCCTGAAAGTCAGCTATCCATTACCCACCTGAGAGGGATCTACTGTTGTCAGGGCCTCTTGTACCATTTCGCGGCTGACTACGTCAGTCCCAGCGGGACAGTGAACAGAGAACAATGCGAAACTCTGCACCTGTGAGTGTGAGTGTGTTTTTCCTCGTCCCAAAACCATCACATGTTTGCACCTTGCTCAGTACTAGTGTTTTTTTCTTTTTTCTTTTCTATAAAAAGAATTTATTTGGGCAAAAGTTGCTCTAGCCTGGGATACAAAAATTCAGGTAGCAACCTAAATCGTGTTCCTAAGTATTTCTTGCTTAAAATCCTTTGAAGGTACTCTGTCCTTTATAACGGTGGTTCCCCACCTCCAGGCTGTGGACTGTTACTGGTCTGGGTTTGTTAGGAACTCGGGCCCACAAGCAGGAGGTGAGCCTGAATGTAATGCGCTTGAATCACCCCGAAACCCCGTCTCTAGCCCAGTCCATGAAAAAATTGTCTTTCACAAAACCGGTCCCTGGTGCCAAAAACACTGGGGACCGCTGCTTTATAGGATGAATTCTAAGCCCCTTCTTTTCACTTACAAGACTGAAAACCTTAACTTTTGCTCTTCCTTAACCCATATCCTCGTTTCCAACCAGAGACAATCTGTAGCTCTTGAACCACACTCTATCCCTCGCGCCCCCCCCCGCCCCCCCCACCGGCTGTGTTTTTGCACATGCGATTCCCTTTACCTGGAATATCCTTTCCCACCCGCTTAGTCTGGCTAACTTTAGTTCATCTGTCACAGCTCAGCACAGATACAGCCTGTGCTGTAGATCCCACACTGACAGCAGCTCCAGCTCCCCAGCAACTCCCAATTTACAGGGCTGTCGTAAGCCTCTGTCAGCCTCCAACTAGGCTGTGAGTCCTTTTGGTTTTGATATCATTGTGTCGGCAAGTTTAGGGACCATTGTCTTTTTTTTAGGAATAATTTTCTCTCTAGCAAATTTTGGCTAAATACCACCTGTTCAAATTGTGTTACTTGTGATTCTTCATTTCGATGTGCATTTTGCAAACAATACTGTAACCTCAGGTGACAACTACTATTTTTAATAATTTATATAATCAACTTTTTATATAGTTAGGTACTAATTTTTTAAAAAAGATTTAACTTGTCCTATTGATTATTTTATTTTTGTTCCTTTGGGAGATAGTTAAAAAAAAACACTCCCAAGTATCTCTGCATACTTTTTTCCCCAAACCTAGCATTCTTATGTCCTTAGCACGCATCTTGGTGCCTGCCGCAATCCAGGGGCCTGCTGAACACGTGTGAAATGAGTAAGTGAATGAACGTGTGAATACATGACAGACGGCTCTGGTAGTGCTTCCAGTCTCTCCTTTCTCCCCTTGTTGTCAGTGAGGTCAAACACAAACAAGGAACAATTAAATTAGCTCCAGCTAGCAAGTGGAAGAAAAGCTAGATGAAACTTCAAACACTAAAATAAAGGAGGCAGGAGAGCACTAGGACACAGCTAATGAAAATGAACTCTCCATTCCATTTACTTCTCCTGTGTGGAGCTTGGGTGCCTGGGTAGGGCGTCCTCCCCCTCCCCCTCCCCTGAAAACCCTGGATGGTCCCTGATGTCCTGCAGAAGCAGGCTGGGAGTGGGCGTAGGAGTTTACTCCAGGACTTGGACTCAAGGAGCGTGGTCCTCTCTCTCCCCAGGGGCGCTACAACAGGCAGGGTCAGCTCGGGTGGTAAATGTGTCTTCCTTTATGCACACATCTGGATACATTGATGAGGGACATCTGACAGGGGCTGGCAGACCTTTGACCTTCAACCAGAACTATTACTGCAGCAAACTGCTTTTGACCTCATTCACTGGGGAACTTGCCAGGAGACTTCAAGGGACAGGTAACTGCCTCTGACACCCCCTATTCCTCCACTCCCACCCTTCACACCTCTCAACATGTCCTGGCCATAAAATACTCCCAACACCCCTCAAGCCGACTGTTAATTCCTTCCATTTACATCTGTGCCCCTAATAGTCCTCTCGACCCTGTCCTCATGTCTCCTTTTCAACCTTTCCAACTCTCTTATCAACCTCAATATCCCTCTTCTCGCAGTATTTTCCAGTACTAACACCATACATCATATTGCTCCTACGGTTAACACTTTCAAATACTCGTGTCTCCTTACTGGCTTGGCTACCTCCACTCACGTAGGTTACAGGGCATTGATGTCCCTGGTGCCACCCCCAAGTCTCTGGTTACCTGTATCAACAGACCTGGTAGGATCTTTCTCTCACTGCGCATTGCAGAATTGCACTCCATCCTTTCCTCCCAGCATCCTCTCACTTCACGCGGCATTATGCTTGTCTTCCCTTCTCAGGTGTGACTGTGAACTCTGTGCACCCAGGTGTTGTATACACCAAGATCATGAACCAGTTTCCTTGGTCATACCGTTTCCTCTTCTGGCTCTCCAGCTTCTTCATTAAGGTGGGGAGGGGAGGAGCTGGTTTGGCCTGAAGAGGGTGGGGCAGGGCCCCACTTCTCAGGGTGTCCCCAGCAGGCTAAAGCCTGCCGGGCCTGACCTCCCCCACCCCCCACTGTGTTTCCACAGGATCCTCAACAAGGTGCAAACCCAATCCTCTATGTGAGTTTGGCAAAGGAACTGGATGGCATTTCTGGAAAATATTTTAGCAGCTCCTGTGTGATAACTCTTCCCCATAAAGCTGCTCAGGATCCTCACGTGGCCCAAAGCCTCTGGAATGCCTCCGTCAAACTAACACACCTAGACAAGGCAGACTGATCCTCAGTGACCCAGGTCTTAGACTTCTTATTTTTTTCTTATTTTAATTTAATTTTGTTTCCATCACCATTTATCCCCCCATACTCTCTTCCACTTCCACTCATTCCCCTCGCCCACTGATCACCACACCCTTGTCCATGTCCATGAGTTTTACCTTTTTTGCTCGACCCCTCAGCCCCCAGCCCCCGCCTCCCAGAGCCATCAGCCTGCTCTCCATCTATGAGTCTGTCTCTGTTTTGCTTATTAGTTCAGTTTGTTCATCAGATTCCACATATGCATGAAATCATATGGTATTTGTCTTTCTCTGACTGGCTTATTTCACTTAGCATAATGTTCTCCTTTGAATTTATATGCTTTTGTAACCCAGTATTTTAATTATAATATTTCATTAATCTAAAAAATCAGATATATTTGTTATTATTTTAAGTAGTTAAGATTTATGTAGCTTTACTCATATATTTAATATTTTCTGTTCATTTTTTAATGATATTTTATTGATTGTTTTTTATTGATTATGGTATTAGAGTTGTCCCAATTTTTCCCCCTTTGCCCCCCTCCACTGGCACCCCCCACTCCCTCAGGCAATCCCCCCACCATTGTTTATGTCCATGGGTCATACATAGGTTCTTTGCTACACCATTTCCTATACTGTACTGTACATCCCCATGGCTATTCTCTAACTACCTATCTGCACTTCTTAATCCCTTCACCTCTGCACCCATTCCCCCACACCACACTCCCATTTGGCAACCATCAAAATGCTCTCAGTATCCATGATTCTGTCTCTGTTCTTCTTGTTTGCTTAGTTGGTTTTTTAGATTCAATTGTTCACATATATATTTATTGGCATTTTATTGTTCATAGTTTTGATCTTTTCTTAAATAAGTCCCTTTAACATTTCATATAATAATGCTTTGGTGATGATGAACTCCTTTAGTTTTTTCTTGTTTGGGAAGCTCTTTATCTGCCCTTTGATTTTAAATGGTATTTTTGCTGGTAGAGTAATCTTGGCTGTAGGTCCCTGTTTTTCATGACTTTGGATATTTCTTGTCAATCCCTTCTAGCCTGAAGAGTTTCTTTAAATTAAAAAAAAATTATTTATTTATTTTCAGAGAGAAGGGAAGGGAGGGAGAAAGAGGGAGAGAAACATCAATGTGTGGTTGCCTCTCATGTGCCCCCCACCTGGGACCTGGCCCACAACCCCTGCATGTGCCCTGACTGGGAATCAAACCCGTGACCCTTTGGTTTGCAGGTTGGCACTCAATCCACTGAGCCACACCAGCTGGGGTATGGAGCCATTTTAAAAAAGAGCCAGAGCTGCAATCCTAGAGGAACTGTTTGCCCATCTCATGCCTCAGAACTTTGGAATATTAAACAGGGCAAAATAACCTTTGACCTGTGCTTAAAGCAACATTGTGTACCAAAGAACTGTTGACAAAGAAAGCAGATATTGTGACTACTGGACTGATGTTTATTTACCACATTGAAAATTAAAAACACTGTTTAGAATTAATATCACTATGTTAGCTTGTCTGAAGCAATAGAAATGCCTTCCTTTTATTGATTTAATTGTTCCCCTTCCCTTTCTCATAAATACTCCTTGCCTTATCTCTTGATTGGAACACTATCTGGGCTTCTGCCTGAATCACTGCTTCCCAAATAAATGCTTGTTGCCTCTCACTTTGAAAGGCTTTTTATTTTAGCCCTGGCCGGTGTGGCTCATTTAGTTGGAGCATCCTCTCAAAATCAAAAGTTTGTGGGTTCAGTTTTCGGTCAGGGCACATACTGAGGTTGTGGGTTCCATCCCCCATCCCCAGTCTGGGTCTGGGTGCATACAATCTCTGGTCTGGACGTGTATGGGAGGCAACCGATCAATTCTTTTCTCGCATTTGAAGTTTCTTTCTCTCCCTTTCTCTCTCTCTAAAGCAATGAAAAAATGTCTTAGGTGAGGATAAAAAAGAATTAGAAAGGCTTTTTATTTTAGGATAATAGCTATAACTAATCTTTTGTTTGGGCCATCTAATGACTTTATATTATAATTATATTTTTATTACTACATGTTATAATTGGTTATTTTTCCAATCTACCTAGTCAGTTTTTATAATTGTTTGTTCCTTCATTATATTAAAATTTGTTTTTTTTAAAGATTTTATTTATTTTTAGAGAGAGGGGAAGGGAGGGAAAAAGAGAGGGAGAGAAACATCAATGTGTGGTTGCCTCTTGCATGCCCCCTACTGAGGACCTGGCCTGCAACTCAGGCATGTGCCCTGACCCAGAACCAAACAGGCAACCTTTCGGTTCACAGGCCAGTGTTCAATCCACTGAACCACACCAACCCGGGCGAAGCACTTTTTTGAAGTTTACTCTCTGGGGGTGTTGCTCTTTGACTATCCTGCCTTTAAGTGTGTAGGGGATAGTTTTTCAACCCAGCTCTCTCTGCTCAATCCCAGACTTTGTTTTCTGTCCCTTCTTATGGCCCTTTAAACACAGGTTCCAGGCTACCAGGGGTTAGTTTAGCAAACACAGGCTCCAGTGATCATCTGTGCCTTAGGATTCATAATTTCACATTATGTGAAAGTTCTAGTGGTCTTTTTTCCTATTCCGACATCAATACCACATTGCCTGAGTTACTATGACTTTAAAGTAAGCACCACCACCCTCACAATTGTGTCTCTTTTCTTCAGGGGTTTCTTGGCTTTTTTTGGCCTTTTGCTCATCTCTAGAAATATATTAATTTGTTGTTATGCTCCTAGAATATCCTAATAGGATATTGATGGGAATTATTTCAAATATATAGATTAATTTAGGATAACTACTTTATGATTGAAATCTTCTTGTTCATGAAAGGGCTAGATCTCCCATTTATTTAGGCTATGGTTAATGTCTCCAAATACAATTTTATAAGTTTAGATTGTGCACATGCTTTCTTACGTGTATTACTAGGTGCATCAGCTTTATTTAAAAATTATATTATCTAACTTTTATTGTTGGTTATAGAAATTCAATTGATTTTTTATTGATTTTATATCTAGCCAGTTTGCTAAATTTTAAAAAGGTAATCCTAATAATTTTCGGATTCTTTTGATATCTTATATATAAGTCATTATATAATCTGTGCAAAAGGACAGTTCAATTTTTTCCTTCCTAATCTTTATGCCTTTTATATTTTTCTCACCTTATTGTATCAGTTATGTCCTAAAATACAATGTTCATTAGAATTAGAGATATTGGACATCTTTTTATTTCTGATTTTAGAGAATCTAATGAGGACTTGTATTCTTTTCAAGGGCCTGTATTTGTTTTAACAAAAATGTCTCTATGTAAATATGGTTTTTCCCATGATTTTCACAACAGGACATAAGTGGTTTTAAGTCCCCAAAGTAAGAATAACATTTTATGATTATTCTGGCTTACCCACATTGTGGACTCTTATTACACAATCTTCAGGGTCCTCAAGGGACCATCTTCACATTGTCCCCACCTCCACCCCAGAAAGAAATGGGAAACAGCACATCTGTTGCTCCCTGGGTCACCTCATCTCTCAGCGCTCTCCCAGTGTGTGGTGACAAAGTCAGGCAGTGAAGAACACACATTAGATTATTTCCTGAAGCCAGACCCTCTAATAAAAGTAGGACAAAGCAGGGGGAAGAAGGGTTGAAATTCTATCTCTAGACTGTCCAATACAACAGCCACTGGCCAATGTGGCTACTGAGTACTTGAAATGTAGCTAATGTGACTGAGGAACTGAACTTTAAAATTTCACTTAATTTTAATTAAGTTTAAAAATGTATAATCAATCCAGTTATTGGAAAACTTCTAAATATATTTGAAACAAATTACATACTTGAACTTATTTTTCAACTGTAAGTTTTATGAAATCTAAACCAGACCAAATGTATTTCTAATGAAAATTTGCCATCTGAATATAGAGGTGCTCTAAGTGCAAAATACACACTGGATTTCAGAGACTTTGCCCCAAAAAAGAATGTAAAATATCTTGTCAATATTTTTATATTTGTTATATGTTGAAATAATATTTTGGATATCTTGTTAAAATTAATATCACTTATTTTTAAGAATATGGTTGCTAAAAAATACGATTATAAGCATGACTGGCTTATATAAAATTTAATTTTAATAATTTTCTCCAAAAATATTTTTAAATGTATTAGCCTACACCTCAGTTAAAGACAATTTCAAAATTTACATTTTTATTCCCATTGGAGAGTGCTGATATAGCTCAGCTAAATGCTTCTCCCCCCCACACCTGTCCCCTACCCCGCCACCGTACCTGGCTTTGACACCTTTGATTTGCTCTTTGCCTTTATCCAAGTCCCCTCCAAGTCCCTCAGCCTGAGCACCACCTCCTTCCTCTGGGAAACAGCATTCCTCTCTTTCAGGGCAGGTTTTTCCTCTTGGTTCTTTCCAACGTTCTGGAAGGGTTCCACCCAGACGAGCAGATGCTCTCTGTTCCGCATCACAGTTTGGGAGATGGGCTCCAGGCATGCACACTGGAGTTCTGGAGTCCTGGAGTCCTGTTCAGGCTCCCCCATCAGAGGGAGCCTCAGGTTGGCACCTATGAAAAGACACATAGGGCAAAGAAAATATTAATTTCCCTTGAAGACCACCAGCTGATCCAATGTAAAGAAACAATATGTTCCCTATTAGCACATCTTGCCCTTTAAACTCATTGGAACTCCCATTCATGATGCTGAGAAGCACTTGGGTCTTTCCTGTTCTCCCACCCCCATTCCACCTGAGGCCTGGCTGCTTCACATGAAAACTCAGCACATCTGTTAAGGTCGTTAAAAAGTCACTCAGAAGAACGGCTCCAGCTCAAACTTTTAAAAAATACACTTAAAAAAATGTCAAGGTATATCAATATGTACTAATATGAGTAACCTCCAAGATACATTGTCCAGTGGACAGAACAACAGGTGCAGGAAGCTTATATAGAAGCTATGTTTGCATCTAAGTTGCTTAAGTTTTCAGAGACTGACCCTGGAACAGCAAACAAAAAACTGGCATTAAAAGTTGCTTTAGGTAGGCTCTGACTGGGTTAGCTAGGTCAATTAGCTAGAGCGTCGTCCTGATGGGCCAAGGTTGCAAGTTTAATCTCTAGTTGGGGCACATACAAGAAGCAACCAATGAATGCATAAATAAGTGGAACAACAAATCAATGTTTCTCTAAAAAAATAAATGAAAAGTAAAAGTTGCTTTGGATAGTAATCTTGGGGATGGGATGAGTGGGCTATGTATTTACGTTTCAAAATATGTGCATATATACAATGGCCAAAAGGTAGAAACAACCCAAATGTACACTGATGGGTGAATAAAAAAACTAAATGTGGTACATACATTAAATGTAATATTATTCAGCCTTAAAAAGGAAGGAAATGCTGACACCTGCCACAACATGAATGACGCTTAAAGACATAAGATCGACACAAAAGGACAAATATTGTGATTCTCCTTATACCAGGTATTTAGAATAGTCGAATTCACAGAGACAGAAAGCAGAATGCTTGTTACCAAGGTCTAGGGTAAGGGGAGGAAAGTGAGCTAGTGGGTACAGAGTTTCAGTATGAAAAGATAAAGTGTTGGAGATGGGTAGTGGTTGCAGGATAATGTAAATGTGCTTAATGCGACTGAATTGTACACTTAAAAATGGTTAAAATGGTAAACTATTTATGTTATCTATGGTTTTCCATGATAAAAATATGTGTATGCAGTGCATTTCACAGCCTTTAAATTTATTTTTCATACTATTTCTCTTTAATTGAAGGGGATGGAGGCCATTTCTACTAAAATTATAGATGCAATTATTATTTGACCCAGTGTATCCTACAGATATACTTGCTCACACATGGAATGTCATATGTACAAGGTGATTCACTGCTGCACTGTTTGCACAACAAAAGGCTGAAAACAAAGTATCCCACTAGAAGAGGCTGGTTAATAAATTAAGTATATTCATGCAATAGAGTACTATGCAGTTGATAAGAGGAAGGAGGAAGAGCTCTATTTGCTGATCTAGAAAGATCTCCAGGATATATTGTTAAGACAGAAACTAAGGTGCAAGTGTATATAGTATGCTACATTTTGCATAAGAAATTGGAGGAATAAGATGATATATTATTCATATTTGTTTGCATTTGCATAAACCATTGAGAGGATAAGCAAGAAGTTAATAACAAAGGTTACCTGCAGTGAGCAAGGGGGAGAAAGTAGTCGGGAACAAGGAGATAAAAGGAGGTTTCCCAGTGCATTCTTTTTCTATTGTTGTGTTTTTTGGATTATGCAAATACATTAAATATTCAGAATAATTAGAAATATTTAGAAGATGAAATGGTAAAAAAAGCAGTAGTAGTGTAAAGTTTGCCCAATTCATCTTTTACCATTTGCCCCCCACCTCCACCTGCCATCAAGTGTATGGACTTTTCAGGTTGTTTTTAATCTGGGATTAACGGAGATTAAAAAAACATTACAATAGTCATATTTCAAGTTCTTTACATAGATTCACTTAATCTTCCTACCAACCTCTTAAAATAAATATTATCATTAACATTTTCATTAAACAAATGAGGAAACAGGCACGGAGAGATTAAGCAACCAACCCACCCCAGATCTCACATAGCCAGGAAACGGCAGTTGAAGCCATTGTCTGTGGAATCCTGGCT